CCCGATACCAGCACAGACGGTAATTCCACCCCTCTCCGCCATAGGACCCTAGTCCCTAACCCGTGTGCTCCGCCTTTGGCGCCCGAACCCGTAATCCCTGCCAGCAGGTTAGGTTCGCAGGTGCCGAGTCGTTGCAGCAACCAGGTTCAGGCACTGCCGCCGCAGCCAAAGTCCACCCCGGACACGAGCAAAGCACTGTGCAAGGGCACGGCGTCCGAGCTTCCGAGAGCTCCGCCGCATGCGATACCGCAATTTCCGCCACCTCCCCCACTCCCAGGCCGCACCAGAGGTACAGCTACAGGTGAACCCGACCAAGGGATCCGCACACCGGTCGTTCTCACTCCCAACTCTGCAACCCAGGCGCCGATGTCTCGCGTGACTCCGCCTCTGCCACCCGTGCAACACGCGTCGCAGCCTCACGTGGCTCCGCGTTCCAACCTCTCCCGACAAGCGTCGCAGCCTCATGTGGCTCCGCCTGTCACCGGCTCGCAGCCTCTGGCCACCCCAGTGCCACCACAGCCACAGCAACCTCGCTTCCCGGTCGCAGTTCTCAGTTTCTTTGACGGTATAGCCACCGCTCTGCACGCCATTAAGAGCTGGGCTATACGGCCGGTGCTTTCGTGGTCTTGGGAGCTCGACCCAGATGCCATCAAGGTCGCTTCTTCTCAACACCCAGAGATGATTCACCACGGCGACGTCTTTGGCCGCAAGCCTCACGATGTTTTGGCTGCCTTGTCTGCCTCAGTTCCCAAAGACACCGTGGTCTTAGTGTTCGCAGCCCCTCCGTGTCACGACTTTTCGCGGATCCGGAGCGATCCACCAGGCACGCACGGGCACGAAGGCTCTAAGTTCGTTCGGTTCGCTAAGTGGCTTAAAGAGTTTAGTCAAGCCTCCAGTTTTAGGGTACTGTTCCTGGTCGAGAACGTACACATGTCCGCCTCACATCAGCGAGAACTGGACGATGCCCTCGGGTGTCGGGCGTTCGCTTGCGATGCTGCCAGCTGGGGTGTTGTGTCTCGCCCGAGACTTTGGTGGTCGAACGTGGTCAACCCACCTCCTGAGAATGTTCGCGAACCGCCAGTCATCCTAGGAGGTCAGGCCAGGTGGCGGCGACTCAACAGACACTGGGAGATCTTACCCAACAGCACCCTTTTTCCCCGACAGGTCGCGCAATCATGTCCCTTCGCGTCCTTCAGCGAAGAAGTCAGCTCAGGTCGCATTAGGTTTCCTTGTTTGACGACACCGGCAGAAGGGACACAGGGTCGCGAACCTCCAGGCAAGAAACGCCGCTCTGAGAGCCCGGGAACCATGGAGCGCTGGAAAGCAGCCAATCGCTCTTACCCCCCGTGGCAGTTCCGCACACACGCCTTGGTGCAGGTCGCCGGTAAGAAGGACCTGCCAGACCCAGCCACACGTGAGTGGCTCCAGCTTCTCCCGAGCGGGTACACAGCGTCAGTCTCGCCTCAAGCCAGAGCGAGGTTGCTCGGCAATGCTTGGCACGCCGGAGTAGCCAGACTCCTCGTGCTCCTGGTGTTGTGTCAGGCCGGAGTCATGGACGCACACCCCGTTCGTACCGAAGAGTGGTACGCTACAGTGCCAGACCCGCGCTTCCAGGTTCGCTGGCATCCAGACGGGAGCCGGCCTTTGCAACGGGTCGCTTCCTGGTGGTTGCGATCGGCCCTCTCATGGGACCCGAACGAGACCCAACCGAGCGACCTCAGGTCGCCGGGCGCAGGCGCCAGAGCACACGTCCGCTGGGCCCAACAGCTGACTTACGCACACGTTTTCCCAGCACCCCTGAACCCATGCCTAGCATGGACCTTCCAGGTGCAATCAAGGTTAGGCCTCAAGGTTGTGCAGGTCCGCGAGTCAGTACTGCAGGATCTTCAGGCATTGGTCGCAGAACTGCAAGAGGACCAAGATGAGGCACTCCAGTCCCTTCCAGCTCACGTGGCCGCGGTCTACCGACAGGGTTCGCCACAACTCAGGTTCCAGCTCCTTCCTTTAGCGTGGTTGCTTGAGCTTTGTCAGTTTCCTGGCCGCTCAGAGCTCCTCACAGAGCTGTTTTGGGGTTTTCGTTTGCTAGGCCCGGTGGTTCGCGGTTCAGGGTGGCTCAACAGGGACGACGCCAAGTATGCCCGTCCCCTCTCTAAGCAAGACTTCCTGGTCGCCAACAGACAACTCGCAAAGACCTTAGGAGAACCCTCCTCTCAGCCAGAGCACCACGAAGTGATGATCGCCGAACTGGAGAAAGAACGACAGTTGGGTCGCGTGCAGGGCCCGCTGCCTCTGTCCCTTCTTGGGGAGAAGCAAGAGCCAGCGTCAGTCCAGGTCGCAAGAGGTTTCGCCGTGGTGCAGAACGACAAAGTTCGCCGAGCAGACGATTGGCTCAGGTCGATGCACAACAGCACAATCTCAGCCGTTGATACGCCACCGTACCTCGGCGGCCCAACCGTGGTCGGGGGAGTTCTGCAGTGCTCCGAGACTTTCGCTGAACCAGTGCTTCTGGGCGCCATAGATCACGAAGGTGCATACAGATCGCTGCCGGTTCGCGAGCCCACAGAGTGTGGATTGGTGATGCCGGGAGTGTCCCCAAGCCTTTGGGTTCACAACGCCCTTCCCTTCGGGTCGGTGGGTTCAGTCTGGGCTTACCTTCGGGTCGCCGACGTCGTCTCCTTCCTGACCATCTCGCTGCTCCTGATGTTTGCTGCACACTACGTCGACGACTTCTTTTCCCTGGAACGTTTCAGGACGGCGATGTCTGGGTTCGCAGTTTTCCAGGCATTTCACCGGGTGCTTGGCTTTCGCATGAAGGAGGAGAAGTCAAAGGAACCCCGGTTCGCTCAGACACTGCTAGGCATAGAGTGGACGCTGACTGCAGAAGCGATTTTCGCCTCTCCGGGAGCTCGCCGAGTTGCCAAGTTGGTGGAGACGATCGCTGACTTCCTGACGTCAGGTCGCATGTCGGCCTCAGAGTGCTCCCAACTAACAGGCAAGTTGTGCTTTACTTGCACGTGGGTTTTCAACCACGTAGGCCGGATGCTGCTCCAGCCCCTTTACCATCGTCAGCATAACGGTCCGCCTGGCTCGAGTCCGCTGACTCCCAGGATGCAACAGGCACTTCATCAGCTCAGAGACCTTTTGCCTAGGCTGCAACCCCGACGGTTCGCAATAGCCCCTCAAGAACGCAGACGACCAGTAGCGCACTTGTATGCTGATGCATTTCTGACAATACACGGAGTGCGCCGTGTTGCAAACAAGTGGCTGTCAGAGCTCCCAACGGCCCAGGAGCTTAACACGGCCACGAACGGTTTCGGGGCGATAGTGTTCGTTCCAGGTCGCTGCCCTCTGGGATTCCGAGGCGAAGTCCCGTCGACTGTGTTATGCAACTTAGCCTCATCCAGGGCATTTATATTTTGGTTGGAGGCATTAGCACAACTGGTCGCACTGGCCACGATCTGCGACCTGGTCGAGACCCACGTGTGCTGTTGGATAGATAACACGGCGGCCGAGCACGCGCTTAACAAGGGCTACTCGAAGGACCTCCGACTCTCGGCCATAATCGGAGCTTTTTGGGTTTGGGCCGCTTCTAGGTCGCTCTCAGTTTCGTTCCACAGAGTCTCGAGCGAAGAGAATGTCTCCGACGGCATCTCCAGAGGCGATCTTAGTGATCTTCAGTTCGCCCAGGGCCAGTTCTACGAGGTCTCCTTCAAAGAAGTTTGGCCCCTCTTGGAACACTTTCGCGACGACTGCCGCAGCTACCACAAGGAGTTCGCTCAGCTGGTCGCCATGTTGGCGTCTCAACTTCGCTGACGCGCACGAGGGTGGCTTCACGGTGCGCTGAAGGTGGTTAGTTCGTTGCGCCTCCTGTGAAGCCTTTTCGTCTCAGAACTTTTGTTCGAGGTTTTACAGTTCGAGGTCGCAGCGAGCTTGCGACCTACTTTCGCCACCGTCCGGAAGGGAAGAGTGGACAAAAAGTGTGTTCGTCCGTGCGTCTGCACCCAAGCTTGTGAAGCATAGCTTGTCGTGCAGAACACGTGTGTTCGTAGTGACAAGCGTAGCGAGAACTTTCCGAAGAGAAGCCTTCGCTGTTCGCAACAAGAAGGCCCGAGGAAAGGACGAGCGAGCTAGCCTTTTTCGCTTTTCCCACCTCTCCCACCCGGAAGTACAGAGTCCGGTTAGTTCGTTGCGCCTCCTGTGAAGCCTTTTCGTCTCAGAACTTTTGTTCGAGGTTTTACAGTTCGAGGTCGCAGCGAGCTTGCGACCTACTTTCGCCACCGTCCGGAAGGGAAGAGTGGACAAAAAGTGTGTTCGTCCGTGCGTCTGCACCCAAGCTTGTGAAGCATAGCTTGTCTATCCACAAAGCTGCATTTCCCTCTAATAGGCTCCGAAAGCAAAGCACTGTAAACCAAATAAAAACCACTGACGCTGTTCCAAACATGATTGTGTGACAGGAGCAAACGCTCTCCACCGCTGAAGTGTACTGCAGGGGCTTGCCGGATGTCCAACTCACCTCTTTTTCTCCTAGAGCAGCAGGCCTGCAGGTCCATGACCAAATAAATGGCTCGCATGGTTGCAGGAGCGAACAAGCAGTTGCCTGCGTCGCCACATACTCAAAGATCCATGAAATGCAATTAGAATGGACATGCATCAATAAACCAAGTAACAGAAACATTGCAAAGTGTAGCCCATGCTTTCGGGATCTCCAGGAGGGGGCCGAAGTACAGCTTCCCCACGAGAAAAACGTGTTCCGTGAAAAAGTCGTCAACAGCCGTGTGACCCGTGAGTGAAAACAACAAGCATGCCGACAAATCACGGTGATGCAGCAACATCCATGGCAAGGGAAAACTACTACCACTCCTAGGTTTGAGCCGCTCGTGGCGCTTGATGTTCCTGGTAGAGAAATAGTAGCGAGAAGGAGCACGACAATGTCATCATCGATGTGGTCACCCTTGACTACTATGTCATGATTTAGGCTTCTCATCATCATATCTGCGCAGGGCCTCAAGCTCCAGCTCCGCTCCTCAAGACGTGGATGAGGAGGCGGGAGCGGGAGGAAGGGGCGAAAGGCAGCTTTGCAGCTTTAGCGAGGCGGTTTGCAGTGCGTGCATGTGCCCAGTGCAAGTGGCTGCATAACCTGCTGAACATCCTTTGGCCCTGCTCTGAGCCTCTGGAACGCCGGGAGCGGGGGGACAGCACCGCCAGATACCAGGGTCTAAGTAGTAATGTCTTTCGCCTCGAGTCCCGTATCGTCTGCAGCGAGCCGGCAGTCTCCCTTCGCAGTGTGTTTGTGTCGTGGTCTCCAAGGCCCCGGATCAACAAGTTCCTGCAAGTCATGGTTCAGGACGGTGGTGGCAATACCGACTGTAGCTTATCTCTTGTTCTCGTCTCGAATACTTCGATGCGCACTCTGTCAAACTACATATCTCTTTGACTGAAGCGAGACTTCACAGAATCGAGTTGTTTAGCTGCGGCTCGTGGCTAGCGGCAACGAGGAGCAGATCATCCCGGAGATCGACCGGGCCTGCCAAGCATGTTCGGCATGCGTCCTCTTTTTGCAGTTATGACCCATATTCAGGCACTGCCCAAGATGTTGAAAGGCAGTGTCGAAGGCTCAGCCGTTCATGGGGAGTGCTGGCCGAGTCTGCGAGATGACGCTGCAACTCGAACCAGGCGGACAGATGAACCGGGACAATGCATGTTCGCAAAGGGTTGATGATGTTGGCTTTGCTTTGCCCACATCTAGGTGAAGTTTCCCAAAATCTTTCTTGGGCGCGCGGTGCCATCGTTCCGTAACATCCGCTTGAAGGACGCCTCTGCAAAACATTCCGCAAGATTGCAAATGTTCAGGCCCGGGCAGGAAGAACCATTCCCAGAATTTCTCCAACTTCGCATTCGAAGGCTAGGCTTGGATTCTTCGCAGTGACACCAGGAGCGGGACGACCAAGCTATCGTCTTGCAGGTGAGCACGGGCCCAAGTGCTCGTGTGAACGGGCTTGGGGGTTTGCCTGGCGCGCATTGGACTTGTTTACTTGAGGCTTTGTTTTCCCGCCAGGACTTGCCCAATTCAATCATAATCCTTGACTGCTGGCACAGCGTCGGTCAAGGTCAGCAACTCCTGCTACACGTCACCCTGACCCAGAATTCTTCACAATGCGGGAGGAGCCATCATCTTTATCCCCAACAAAAAAAGATGCACACGAAGAGGTGCAGAGGAGTCGTATCCCATCGCGACGGGGCACCAATGTCGGGTAGTGAGAGTCAGCCACACCACAGAACCGCACTGCTTGGAGCCTGCGCTGAGGCATAGAGATGGCCTCCGACATGGATGCGAGAGCCTGTGATTTTTGCGAGAGGGCGGTTGGACTCTGGGTCCGCACAGGATGCAGAACCGATGGTTCAACGGCTGCTTTGGATCAAGATAAACTCAGATCGCAAAGCAGTACTTGTATCTTCAACAAAATTGATCAGCGAGTTGCAGTCTGTTCATCGGCACTGGTTCTCTATCTTCGAGCTTTCGGATCCACTTTTTTATTGCAGCCCAACACATTGTGTTCTTGAGCTGTTATTTCCTTGTTCATGCGAGTGCGAATCTGCATGCATGGGAACCTAGCGCTCAGATGTCGTGTAGCCTCCCCAGGTTGAGATCCAAGCTTTGAGGGTGCCAGTCGGGATGAAGCGCCTGCAGCAGCTCGGAAAGGCAAAATGAAATCGCCAAGCACATGTTCATCACAAAGGTGTCAAGCTAGCTTCACACAGCTTAGGTTCTCTGGTGAGTCACGCGCTGAGGGCCTGTGTGTTCAACTGCAACTTATTCGTGGTGGTCGTGGTAGAAGCAGTCATTAAGCAGAAGGCAAAAAGTTGAAGTGGTGGTAGTCGTCGTCGTCGTAGCAGTAGTCGTAGCCGTCATAGCAGTGATTAGGAGTAGTAGTAGTGGTAGTAGTAGTAGTAGTAGTAGTAGCAGCAGCAGCAGGAGTAGTAGTAGTAGTAGTAGCAGTAGTAGTAGTGGCCTAGCAGTAGTAGTAGTAGTAGTAGTAGTAGTGGTGGTGGTAGGTACTAGTAGCAGTGGCAGATGTGGCAGTGGCAGTAGCAGTAGCAGTAGCATCAGTAGTAGCTGTAGAGTAAAAGTAGGAGTAGTAGTAATAATAATAATAGTAATAATCGTAGTAGTAGCAGTAGTACTAGTATTAGTACTGGTACTGGGTACTAGTACTAGTACGAGCACTAGTACTAGTACTAGTAGCAGTAGAAGCAGGAGTAGCAGTAGTAGTAGTAGTTGTTGTTGTTGTTGTTGTTGTAGTTGCTGTTGTAGTACTAGTACTAGTACTAGTACTAGTACTAGTACTAGTACTAGTACTAGTACTAGTAGCAGTAGCAGTAGCAGTAGCAGTAGCAGTAGCAGTAGTATTCTTTATTCCCACGCGGACTCAATGTGCCTGAGTTCTGCGAGGCCCGAATCATAAGCAAAGCATATGCCTGCTCAGGGCAGGGGGCCCAGGTGGCCAAAGCCATATGCGGCTTGCAGCCAAGGCTCTTTAGGCCAAAGCCTTATCATGAAAAAGAGCCTTATGTTCATGTGAAACAATGAGCTTTGAAGGTCACTTTTTGTACAAGTGTGAGGAAAACAATTGCTACTCACTTGCTGTGCGGGCGAGGATAGACCTCAGGCCCTCGGGTGAGTATGCTCAGACGGGAGTCTGAGAGCGTGGACTGCGGGGACACCTGAACAGCGAGCAGAGTTCGTGTGCACTGTGAGAGGTTAGAGAACAGAATGTGCAACACCGTAGGTGTGCGACTCCGCACATAGCACTCATTGCTGCCGTCTCAGCCTGCACAGTGTGCAGGGACGACAAAGGCCAAGTAGGCGTTGTGCTCTGGTGTGTCGAGATCACTCTGGTTAGCAGCCCTGGCCGTGACCCCGTCATCTCTGATACTGATGGCTTCATCTTCAAAGAGAGCTGTGGCGTAGTGTCCTGTGTCAACTGATCGGCCTAAATGGAACACAACCGCAACCAGGCAGTACGGAGTCCAAACAGTGACGTTTTGAGCATCACTGCACGGCAGCAGGAGACGTCGGTCTGCGTTCCCCCTCAGACTGACCTGGAAAGAATGTTTTGTGATCACTCCTTCAGAGTTTACACGGAACCGAGGCAGCTGGAGGTAAGTTGGGCGCGCGGCGCACACTCTGTACATGGCTTCCTGGTGGTGCCATGCATAGACAAAGTGTTGCAGACGAGGGGTGACATGGACATTGGGCGGGTAGTTTAGTGGGATGGGACATCCGGTGCCTGAGTCGTGCGCATGGATGCGCTCCCCTTCTCGGATCGTCCCCTGCCACGCAGCAAGGCGTCTGCCGATGCTCATGCTATTCAGCACGAAAACGCAGAACTCTGCCGCATCATGCTGCTGTCTCGGCCTTCGCCATCCCGTGAGATGCAACCCCAGCGCCTTCATGAGGTTTACTCTCGTGCGGGTAGGAATGTCGTGCAGAACTCGGGGGGGTGTCATACGGGCAGCATCAAGCATCGCAAGAATGGCACTGATGGAAGCGTTCATATAGCAACCCTGAGCATCCCATATTGATTACAATCAATCAATTTCGCAAACAGATATTGATTTTTTGCGCAGCGTCAAAAATCAATATACCGAAAACACTGCATATTGATTAGCATATTGATTATCATATTGATTAGCATATTGATTAGCATATTGATTAGCATAATGATTAGCATATTGATTAGCATATTGATTAGCATACTGACTAACATATTGCTATATATGTTGTTTTGCAAACTAATTTATATAGCTAATATGCATAAAAATACATATGAGTATATATGAAAATATGTATATATGTGTGTGTAAGGCCTTGGGTATAGAAGACTGTAATGTAGAGGTGTGGGGTATAAAGGTGCAGGGGTAAGGGGCTTTGAGGGGGTTAGAGGCAGAAGGATTTAGGGCTATAGTGGAGGTTCACAAACATCGGGGTTTAGGGCTAGGGGGTTTAGGGGTAAGGGGCTATAGGGTATGGGATCGTAGGACTTTCGTGGGCAGATGGCTGTAGAAAGTCTAGCAGAAAGCGAGGTAGAATGAGAGAAAGAGAGAACAAACGAAACGGAAGGATAGGGAACGAAGAGAGAAGAGAGAAGCGACTAAAGAAAGAGATACAGACAGAGAGGCAGAGAGAGATAGATAGAGAGACAGATCAAGAACAACATAGAGAAGGCGAGGATAAAGTGGCAGGAAAGAGAAACCTAGGACAAACCAAAGAAATAGAAAAAGAGAGAGCGAAAGAAGGAGCGACACAGAGACATAAGGGAGAGAATGAGAGAAGGACACACGGAGCGAAAGAACAAGAGAGATGACGAGAGAGAGAGAGAGAGAGAGAGAGAGAGAGAGAGAGAGAGAGAGAGAGAGAGAGAGAGAGAGAGAAAGAGAGAGAGAGAGTTTTAACAAATAAGTTCCAAAATCACAAATCGCAAGTTGTGTAAGAACTCAGATCCCAAAATCACAGATCGCAAGGGGTGTCCCCCTAAGGTCTTGTGAAAACTCAGATCAGAAAAGCACAGAGCGCAAGGGGTGTCCCCCTAATCCCTGCGAGCCGCGACCGAGCAGAAAGCCTGTAAAACAACGGCCAGGGATCCCACACATCTGCGGGCAAAATCTGGCGGAAGTGATCCGCCACCGAGCAAAAAGCCTGTAAATACCGCATTAAACAAAGGGCCAGGGATTTCACACATCTGTTGGCAAAATCTGGCGGAAGTGAGCAGTCGGTACTTCCGCCAGATTTTGCCAACAGATGTGCGAAATCCCTGGCCCTTTGTTTAATGCGGTATTTACAGGCTTTTTGCTAGGTGGCGGATCACTTCCGCCAGATGTTGCCCGCAGATGTGTGGGATCCCTGGCCGTTGAAGTGGTGAGTGAGAGGGTGGTGGGAGGGTGTTTGGGAGGTAGGGTGGGCAGGAGGTGGAGGGAGTGCGAAGTGGGAGGAAGGGTGGGT